CTACGTATGCCTCCGTGTCTCTGGTGGTGTATGAGTCAACATGCAGTCGCCGATTTTCTACTGTTTCTATAAACACGTCTTGTCGGCCGATAAAAAGCGTGAAATAAAATAATTTTAAGAAAAAAAATACACCGACTTCGAAATGCACTAAAAAGTATAAAATAATTTCTATTTCCTAATGAAGTAATTTCTATTTCATTCAATCATACAATTACGTAACAGATATGAATGAAACCTATTTACTCGTTAGGTATTTAATATAATACCTAACGAGTAAATAGGTTTCATTCATATCTGTTACGTAATTGTATGATTGAATGAAATAGAAATTACTTCATTAGGAAATAGAAATTATTTTATACTTTTTAGTGCATTTCGAAGTCGGTGTATTTTTTTTCTTAAAATTATTTTATTTCACGCTTTTTATCGGCCGACAAGACGTGTTTATAGAAACAGTAGAAAATCAGCGACTGCATGTTGACTCATACACCACCAGAGACACGGAGGCATACGTAGAATTCAATACATTAATAACAATAGCTTTTCGCTAATAACTCGAAAACTAAAGCTTTCCGTCAATTATGCATAAGGAAAAAGTTGTCCAGAACCACGCCCTTAACAACATATTCGAAGGATATTAAAATCGTTCGAAGTTGATTTCAAAAGTTAACAACAATTTTTCGCTAATATCTCGAAAACTAAAGCTTTCCGCGATATTTTTATACGAACAAAATTGTTCAGAATCATGTCCGTGATAAGATATTAAAAGCGCACTAAAATCGAGAAAAGTTTATTTCAAAAGTTGTCGGTTTTTTTGCAATAACAACACTTTGCAATTAAAAAATGAAAAATTTTTTGATAATGGTACCAATGGGGAGTCAGAACCTACCAGATGCAAAAGGTTTCGTTCCGATCGGTGCATCCAACTAGGCGTAATCGGCGGGCACACATAGAAAATAATAAAAAAAAAAAAAAATATATACTGATCGAATTGAGTAACCTCCTTCTTTTTCGAAGTCGGTTAAAAAGTCATGATGAGTGTGTAATAAAGTCCATAAAGAAATTCGTATTTTGAAAATTATAACAAACAGAGATAATCTTAATTATTGTTAAAGTTTGTTATTAGGTTATAAAGTTTACTAATAGTGACACAATTTATTGTGTTAGTATTATGATTTATTTTGCCATTGTGATTGTATAAATGTGAACTAACAAAAATCCTGGTCTTTCATTGTAATTCGCTGATATATGAAACTGAAATGAAATTTTGTAAAAATTCATTTTTTATTTTCGTTTTTTGATATTTTAATGCATTACAGAGTAAAAATCACACTTGTATAGATTTTTTCATTCTTACTTAAAAGTCAAAAACGTTTAAAGAAGTAGGGGTAGTTTTACTGATTAGTAAGATCTATTTAATGCATCTTGCAATTTATTATTAATTATTATTAATTAATACAAATTAATAATATTAATTATTATTAATTATTATTAATTAATAATAAATTTATTTAGTATCACTATTATAATTTATTTTGCTATGATTCTATAGTTAAATATCAACATAATTTTTTGTCTTTTATAACAGTTATTCATATTTATACAAAATTAAAACAACATTTTGTTGAAAGTAATTCTTATTTAGAAGTCAGAAATGTTTAAATTAATAGTGGGAATTTCCCTATCGCTAGACAGTACTTAATATCGGTCGTTGATCATATTTATCACATTTAAAATGTTATCAAATTACGTTTTTATATAATTCATAAAGAAGATTGAATAAATGAACCGTTGTTTTTAAATTTAGTATAAATGCATTTATCATTCTTGAGATATTCAGGGATTTTCGTCCGTACCAATTTAACAGCACTGGCAAACGTCAATCAATTTGGATAATGCTTTAAAACTATAAATATCTTAAATTTTGTTTAAAAATGAAAATGACAGTAATTGTGGAAAAATTTTTTGGCTCCGTGATTTCTTATCACGGAGAAGCTTTTGAATCATGGTACACAGATAAATATATTATTTATTATAGTATAATTATGGTTTCTATACCTTTAAAAGGTGATTGGCAAATGAGTTAAATGTAAAAAATGTTACCCTTGTGCCCACTCTCCTCTAAAAAAAATTACAGAAACTATTTATTATATATAATTATTTACATAATAGCAATCGCACGAAATACCAAATTTTCAGCTGACAAAAATATTTAGGCCCGAGATTTCACAAGCTCCTAATTTTCACAACATCATGGAAATAGTTTTTGTAACACAGCAATTCCGAAAGTGTTTAACAATTAATTTTGGTCTGTTACACCCAGTAACATGAAATTGACTTAACAGATGCAAATTAGTGTGACGTAAACCGAATGAACAATTAACCTTTTCTCTTCGGCTGTCCAGTCCGTCGAAGTACTGTACAAGCTTATAAGCGGCGCTCGTACCCACAGGTCATATTGTGCGCGCCGCTTATAAGCGGCGCTCGAAGCGAAAGCGTTAAAAATAAGTAACATGAGGTCGACGATGAAACACGGTGGTGGAGGCTTGATGGTATGGGGCTGCATTTTTAGTGTTGGAGTAGGGGGGCTGGTTTTTATTGAACATATTATGGACAAGAACAAATATTTAGACACATTAATAAAAAATTTATTAAAAAATGCCACGAATATGGGTATACGCGACAGTTTTAAGTTCTACCAGGATAACGATCCGAAATACAAATCGAAAATAGTTCAGGAATATTTATTATATGCTTGTCCGAAAGTGCTCCATCCTCCACCACAATCACCGGATTTAAGTTCAATTGAAAGTCTATGGGACTTATTGGATCGTAATGTCAAGACCACCCCTATAAAAACAAAAGGACCACCATGACTTATTGGTAATGTTAAGACCACCCCTATAGAAACAAAAGACGAATTAAAATAATTAAAATAAATTAAAATAAAATAATTTCAAACATACCAACACGTTTGCAACACGTCATGAGACAAAAGGGATGTCCCAAAAAATATTAAATTAATATTAAAATTATAATTTTGTTGTTACATACACTATAAATAAGAAAAAACTTTATGTAATATTAAGTGTCCGAATATTTTTTCGACACCGATAGCTGGTCTAATTTCATTTATCATTTACTATGTAGAAAACAATAAAAAATAAAGTATTTAATTTTACATATCTGTAAACTAGAATATGTGTTTTAACTCATTACGGATCAGAAAATTCGATAATCACATTGCAAGTAAGTACATAAAGCTTTAATTTCGCAAATACCATAGTGTCTGAATATTAAATCGAGTAACTGTACCTCTACAATCCCTTTGCTTGAATCCTATCATACTAATAGAATAAGAAAAAAATTCAAAAAAATGTTTTAAATTGAAGAGCAAATTTAAGGAAACTTCTGATGAAGAAATAATCGCGTATTATTTAATTATTTGAAAATAATTATCTCTAACATACTAACCTGTTTTGCAACATGTTATGCAATAGAAAGGATGTGCTACAATGTAATAATCTCTAATTAACAATTGTTATTATATCTTTGTCAATTTAATTTTGCCGTTGGTACACGAAAGATAGATGGGTGGTAAACAAATTGTGCAGTATACAATACGCCAAATTTACAAAATGTTACTTTTTCTCTATTCTCCCCTGCTATTTCACGTGTCTGTAGTAATCATATCAAAATTTAATTCACTGTCATACTATTTATTTTTCAGATGCGTCAGTTACCACTAGTGTGAGATTCAACACATTTAAACTGTGGATACGTCACGAGTCAGATTCATTAAAGTATGGTATGGGATTAATGTTAGTTAAAATTAATATCATGATATTGTTTGTTGTTTTGTTACGTTATTTTAAATTTTAATAATATTGACTTCTATTTAGTGCAGAAGAAGAGAATTGGAATATCGTTTTCCTTTATTTATTTAAAACAGCCCTAAGCGTTCGATAATTGGAAAACTCCCACTATATTCAGGGTAACTCCAAAAACATGTATATTTCCTTGAAAACTAGCGAATATATTTCATTATGTAAACAACTAACGAAAAAGACTAATTAGCTAAATGAACTCATTACCTTTTATTAATTTATTTTAATGGATTATTTAAATATATCAATAAACACCTTGATTAAAGCTTAATCTACAGGGTGGCTCACCACATTTTGCCATCTAGATTTGCGTCATTATTATTACTCATAGCAAACAATGTTTTAGATGAAGTTGAATGGTTTTGAGAGGGGCATATGCTGGTAGTATATTTTTTTGCATTCAGAATCATCTCTCAATCATTGTACTACATAAGTATTTATTAGTACATTTATAACTATTTATAAGCATTAATAAATATAACGATATTAGTAATAATGGTACATGAGGTAGAGGAAAAAAAAATGCTACCCAACGGATGTCAGGGCCTCGTGGGAATATTTCGGGTAGGAATAGGTAACATATCTGCGTAGAAACGATTTTCCTTCAGGAGAAGGGGGCGCCAGAGTGTCCTGTCCGCGGAGAAACGAAGCGCGGTATGTTTAGGAGTAACGTGTCCGCAAAGGAACGATTTCTCCGGCTAACCAATTTCGCTTTTTAAATTGTTCCCTTGAAGAAACAGGCTTGCCTGACTTTTTTGTGTTTATTTTTCGGTAGTATTTATACCAATTTCAGAAGCTATGTCAGTCTAATTGCAGGGCGCATATGACCGAACGTGGGGGTTTTATTACTCTAACTACCTGACACGCAGCGAACGTCGCTAACATGTTTTCCTTACAAACTAACAGCATTCTTTCGCTATCTACATTATTTACATGTACACATGGGGTGGTATGAAACACGTAATATAAATATGCGTTACTTATTCAAAAGAAAAAGTTAGAACACATACTCCTATCTATTATATCATTTGAGACTATTTACGATAGAACATAACTAAAAAAATTATTAAGTTTTTAGTAATGAAAACTTTCATCACATTAGGAAAAAAATGTGGATATAAATTAATAATAAATACAAAAAAACATGAATGTGAATTACCAATTGATAGAGTTACACGTATTAATGGTAAATAAGAATATTAATTTTTATAAGAGTTTATAAAATGAAAAGATGTTACTGAATAAAACATAACGGTAATGTAAAAAAATACGTAAATATACGTGGCAACGTGCTTCGCCGGTAGCCGTACAACACCCACAGAAATAAATAAAAGAATACATATTGCAATATTACTACCAACTTATTATAGCCTAGAGAGATTCCAGTAGCAACACCAATAAATCAGAAAATGTAAAGATAAATTAAAATATTACTGAAACAATCAGAATACATTAAGTATATAAGCTTTTAGCACATATTTCTGTTGTAAAAGTTACAATACTTGTCTAGTACTTCTCTACCAATCTATTAATTCTTCTCATTTATTCATTTACTAATGCGGTTTATAAATTCAGTTAGCAAGTTTTTATACAAAAGCAATCATCAAGACGTGTTAGTGACTTCAAAAGACCTGAAAATTTAACTCGGAATTGTGAGTTTTTGTTCTTTTTTGTTACGCAGTAACAGTGAAATTTAATCTATGTTACGTCTCTTATACAGTGAATACGACGATACGGTGAATTATCACTTCACAATGAAGTATTCTAAAGAAAAAAAGATAGACATTTTATCAGTTTATTTTGGATCTGGGAAAAGCGCTACACATGCAGAAAGGTTATACACTACGGAATGTTAGTACGTCATTAATTTTCCGATTCAGAAAGTGTGCTGGTGCAAATAGTCGCTACATTGAACCTTTTCTGTAAATACACATTAAAATTAAAATATCTCCAAAGCTAATGATTTTTTTACATAAATAGATTAATACTTTTTTGTAAAGAATATGAAGGAATATCAGCTGATGCAATAAAAAATATATGATTCCATTTAAAAAAACATTAATGACCTGCATATGCCTGTTTCAAAACCATTCAACTTTATCTAAAACATTGCTTGCTATGAGTAATAATAATGACGCAAATCTAGATGACAAAATGTGGTGAGCCACCCTGTATTAGAGTAATTATCAATTAAAGTATGAGCGCATATTTTTTGGACACTCTGTAATTCACAAATTATACGCACATCGCATATTGTTGAAGTCCGTAATACAGCATATTTCTCCCTAACATTTCTGGAATGCAACCCGGGTCACTGCATTTATGGAAATAGGAGACATCCCATTTGAAGAGACCAGGGGAAAATGATAGCTTAAATGTGAAATTTTCAATATTGGAACAACAAATTTTATAACAAATTTTAACTCTCTCCCACTGTGTATGTGTCAACAATCATTCTTTTGTTTATACGTATTCGGGGCTATCATTTTATGCAAGTAAAATTTGTTTTTATAGTCTGATATTTGCTCTATTGTTATTTTAATAAAAAAAAGCATTGACCGTGATCAATTTTCCCTACGATATACGATTCTTTTCTCGTGCAGTTTAATAATTTATGAGTGTGAACGTACTGACAGTTGTAAAATGTAGTAGTAACGTTATTATTTATTACATGTTATTGTAAAGTTATAGAAATTATAATATGTTACAGTTATAGAAATTGAAAAATGTAAAATATTCTGTTATGAGGAATTGATACTGTGGAAGAACGCAGGAAACAGAATAACATCACAATTTATTTTTCAAAAAAAAAAGAAAATAATAATTAATTATAAAACATAAAGACTTAAAAAAAATAAAGTCGTCATTAAATCAAGCAACAACATAAACATCATAGTAGTTATTTTTCTACTGATACTTCCTTAATCATTGTATATGTCCCGGTTATCATTAAGGTTGGACTTTAATTATTCTTCCGTTAGAAACTTGTGACACTATCATTTCCCCCGAACCTAGAACATTTTTGCGTCCTATTTTTCAGAACTGGATCCGTTTTTCCTCTCATCATACTACAATTGGATAACTTTTCCTACACAGTAATATATGATGCTAAAATCTCGCTTTTAATTTAGAGTGAACAATGGTTTTACCCATGGTCTTGTCATTTATGAGTTTGTCAATCGTAAAAAGAAAATCGCGAGGAAAGGTGACTTAACACGAATTGGGAAACCGGTGTTAATTTACATTTAAGAGCCAATAAAACCTGTGATCAGTACTCTTTTTTTTCAAGAGCGAACCGCTCCCTCAAATATCTCATCTTCTCTCTAAGGCAAAGAACCGACGCACATGGATCGTCACAACAATCTCGTTCAGCAAGAGTTTCTTCCAGATCTCTGACTTTATCTTCGAGCGTCGCGTTAGTACTTTGTAACCTTTCGATTTCTTCCCGAGAATGTATTAGTAACGGATCAGGCTTCAGTATTTCATCCTCATTTACACCTGTAAACATTTAATATTTAGATATAAATATAATCTTTAGAAATTCAAACACATTTAATTTCTTATTTTATATTACAGAAATTAATAGTGATCCTTTTTGACGTACAGGCAGAATAATATGTAGAAGATCGTACTACATAATCCTTTATGAGAAAATAGGAAAAAAGTGTAAAAGATAATTTTTTTGATTTGTGATTTACTAGGGGAACTACTAACAAGGGAAGGCACGGAAGTGTCCCCTCGATTTTGATGAAACTTCGTACGTATATATATATATATAAAACTTTTAACCCCTTCCCGTGCCATTTATTCAACAAATGCGTCAATCAAGACTAACTATTCAGGGCTGTAACATTAAAACGAACAAAGAAAATTAAAATGTTGTAACTATTTTATATTCAGGGATCCTTGATAATGTAACTTATAGATGGACCTAAATTTCAAGTTGAAGAGTATTCAAAATTTGAGTAAGGTTTGTCACATTTGAATTATATGTGCGTCACGAGTGAGATTTGTCGATGCACGGGAAGGGATTAATAACAAAGTTTCAAACCTTATTTTTGCAAAGGGAAACCTTGTTCAGAATCATGTCCTTTACCACCCCTTTCCGGGAGGTACACGAGTTGTGAGACACCCTGTGTTGTGCACCTCATGCATGCGTACGTCACACAAAATATTTGTAGGCAGATAATATTTAAAATGTTACGACATTAATAAAATTTTATCCCAAAAAAATGTTAAGGTGCCCAATATTATAAAAATTGAATTTTAATCAACTCCGTAGTCTAAATATTAAGAAGTAAAATTAAATATATTTCTTTGCAGAATTTTAAGAAAAATTACGTTGTGTTTGATTTTATCAGTGAAGAATCCGAAATTTAAAATACATAATATTTTCATTGTTAAAAGTATTAAATTTCTCTTACTATCATTTTATACTGCAATTCATTTTTGATAGATATTTGAGCTATTCCAACGATTGATATTTTATTCACAAGCCTTTGAATTTTAATAACGGCTCGGATAAGCTTCGACATATTTATTATTGCATTTCCGCACTATTCTGGCATAATACTTTATTCATATATTCCTTCTCATAAGTTAATTCTTACAAAGGAACGTTACACTAATTTTTCCAATTGCATTTTTGAACATATCCACATATTACTGAATCACTTGAAAAATTCTGAACGGGCCGTCCTAATTGTAAAATTTAAAGTCATACAAAATTGTATTATTATACATCTATATAGACATGATTTATAAATACATATTTGTATACAAAATGTATAAAGAAATTTCTTCAAAAACATATATTTTAATTTGCATACTTTATATCACAGATTTTGCTTTTATATTGTAACACTATTTCTTACATACTTTATGCATTTTTAAAATCGGCACATGAGGCAATTGCAAAACAAGCGATAATTTTTGTCGTTATATTATTTATGAATGATAAAAAAAAATTATATTATTTATGAAAATGAAGCATTTCGTGTATTTTTGAAACTTACAAAGGAGGTTTCCAAAGCGTTCATAACCGATTTTAATAAAATTTACATAGCACATAGTTTTTGGAAAAATTTTTCCCATATTTTTTCAATGGCAAACATCCATATTTATGGAGTGAAAACAGCTCTTGATATTGGGGATGAAAAATCTATTTTTTTCAATATCTAAACATTGTTTTACAGTACTATAAAATATCGTATATGAATATCTTTTTAGTAATAAATTTGATGATACGAAGTGTAAAATATTTATTTATTTAAAGACTATAATAAAAATTAACTTTTTTTTATTTTTTTTTTTTTTATTGCTAAAACATGATACTGCTAATTCTGCTTATTTAAATTGTAAGCATGAAGCATGTTTTATTATACTTTTATTAACCGTTGCACGACGAAGCGTGGGTTCGTTTTGACACAACTAAACTTCAGTTAATCGATTTAATATTCGGACACTATGGTATTTGCGAAATTAAAGCTTCCTGTACTTACCCGCAATGTGATTATCAAATTTTCTGGTCCGTAATGAGTTAAAGCGCATATTCTAGTTTACAAATATGTAAAATAAAATACTTTATTTTTTATTGTTTTCCACATAATAAATCATAAACGAAATTAGATCTGTGGCGCCCTTGGCACCACATACGCCATTGCCTTTTTTGTTTTCTATATTCTTCCTGTTTTCTAAAATTCTGTTTCCTGTTTTCTTTTTTCTTTAGCTTTACGTTCTTTAATTGTTTTCGCTTTTTATAGGGTCTCGCCAGGGCCTGGTCAGTGTCAACGCTCAGGCCCTTGCGAACCTTTTCACTTTCTGTTTTATGATTTTCTTCCGCTGTACCTCTCCTTTTCCGAACTTTCAACGGTTTTTCTGGATTTTCCTACTTCCTATATTTTCTCTCTTTCTAACTGTTTCTTTCTTCTTTTGCTGATGAGTTTTTGAGGAGAGGTTTTGACCAGCGACATGGGCAGTCCGTCAGAGTCGTTGGTATATCTTACATCGTATTTACTGCTCGTACGCATTTAATAAACTCGTGTGGAACGCAACATAGTCTCGATTATTGTGTTAACCTTTATGCGATTCCCACAGATCCGATATTGGAGTCGAAAAAATATTCGGACACTTAATATTACATAAAGTTTTTTCTTATTTATAGTGTATGTAACAACAAAATTATAATTTTAATATTAATTTAATATTTTGTGGGACATCCCTTTTGTTTCATGACGTGTTGCAAACGTGTTGGTATGTTTGAAATTATTTTATTTAAATAATTTTGAGTAATGCGTTTCCACTCTTCCGTCAACTGTATTTTTTAATTCATCTTTTGTTTTTATAGGGGTGGTCTTGACATTACGATCCAATAAGTCCCATAGACTTTCAATTGAACTTAAATCCGGTGATTGTGGTGGAGGATGGAGCACTTTCCGACAAGCATATAATAAATATTCCTGAACTATTTTCGATTTCTGCATCGGATCGTTATCGTGGTAGAACTTAAAAATGTCGCGTATACCCGTATTCGTTGCACTTTTTAATAAATTATTTATTAATATGTCTAAATATTTGTTCTTGTCCGTAATATCTTCAATAAAAACCAGCCCTCCTACTCCAGCAGTAAAAATGCAGCCCCATACCATCAAGCTTCCACCATCGTGTTTCATCGTAGGTCTCGTCTCATCACTAATTTTCGTCTGTTACACCCAGTAACATGAAAATGACTTAACAACTATTGTTACATAGACCCTAAATAAGAAAAAATTTTATGTAATATTAAGTATCCGAATATTTTTTCGACACCAATATCGGGTCTAATTTCGTTTATGATTTATTATGTGGAAAACAATAAAAAATAAAGTATTTTATTTTACATATTTGGAACTAGAATATGCGCTATAACTCATTACGGACCAGAAAATTCGATAATCACATTGCGGGTAAGTACAGGAAGCTTTAATTTCGCAAATACCATAGTGTCCGAATATTAAATCGAGTGACTGTACAGCCTCGCAGTCATTTTACGCAACGAAAGTAACAATATTTATATTTAAACGCGTCTTCAAATAACCAATTCCAGATTACAGATTGCAAAAATTTATGATATCGAATATTACTTTTTTAACAAATATCATTGGTTGCGAAAAATATACAGATGAATAATTACAACATATTCTTTGATATTATACGATTCTATGATAAACTGTATTATATTGTATTAATATAATATGTTGTGTTATAATGTAATAATTATACAAAAACAACGTCATATTTTTCCTATGAAAGTAAAAAAATGTTAACTTTTATTATAATCTCTTAATAAACAAATATTTTGCAAAACAATTTACTCAGTCAAAGGGTATAACTGAATAAAAGGGTCAAAAGTGCCTTTAAACCAAATTAATCAATGAACGCAGCAGTTAATAGATCGTTGAAAGGAAACAATTTTTGCCAAATAACGAGCCGCTACCACTAATTGAAGGGTGGTTACAAGGGGAAATGCAATTTTTATAGTTTATATCTTTTATTGTGTTATGCGGAATATTTTGAAAAAAAGTTGGGGATGTTCTGCTCCATTTCACACGTGTTTGTGAATTTCTCCAGAATTTTTAAACGCAAATGAATTTAAAAAAAATTTTTAAACTTCAAAAGTATTTTTTTTAAATAGATATTATCAAGTGACCACGTTTATATTTTTACAATAGACATGTCTTGTCATTATTATTAATCAGTAATTTTTTCAGATTGCTTGAAGCGATGGAAGACAATTGCAAAAATCAAAAACCAATATCTGGTTATACTATTATTTTAATTTTTCATGAAACCATGTTCATATTTTTATAATTTTAATAGTTTGTTAAAATTATTAATATACAATTGTTCAGCTTCTTTAAGGAAGTGTATCAAATATAAAAATATTAGGTTGGGGAATAAGTTCGTAGCGTTTTGACATTTTCTTTTTTTTGCAGCGACATTTTGCAATTTGCAAGGGGTTATAATATTCATTCCATAGAGCTCTTTCTGCTCTACAAAACTGTGTTAATCGTTTTTTTCAGTAGTTTCATTCGTTATTACTATTGAGGCTCAGAAATGGAATATCCAGGAGGTAAAAATTAGCACTTTCGACATCTGCTCTTCTTCGCTGTCCATCGCGGCCAAAAAGCTGCTGAAGCAGCCCGGGATATTTGCAATGTATACGGAGAAGGTGTCATAGGTGAGTCGACAGCACGGAAATGGTTTGCAAAATTTAAAAATGGCGATTTTAACGTCGAAAACCCGCCCCGCAGCGGAAGACCTTCTGAGTTCGACGAAAAGCGTCTCCGAGCACTTGCGAAGCAGGATGGTCCTCAAACTAGTCGTGAATTGGTCGAAAAAATGAACTGTGAC